TATTTTTGAGAGAGAGAGACAGAGTGTGAGCAGGGGAGAGGCAGAGAGAGAGGGAGACACAGACTCTGAAGCAGGCTCCAGGCTCTGAGCTGTCAGCACAGGGCCCGACGCGGGGCTCGAACTCACGGACCGTGAGATCATGACCTGAGCCGAAGTCGGCCGCTCAACCGACTGAGCCACCCAGGCGCCCCCAGAGCTTTTTATTTTAATGTAGTGTCCCAATAGTTTATTTTGGCTTTTGTTTCCCTTACCTCAGGAGACATATCTAGAAAGATGTGCTTCAGCCGATGTCACAGAAATTCCTGCTTATCTTCTCTTCTATAATTTTTATGGTTTCAGGTCTCACATTTAGGTCATTACTCTGGTTTTAGTTTATTTTTCTATATGGTGTGAGAAAGTGGTCCCGTTTCATTCTTTTGCATTTAGCTGTCCAGTTTTCCCAACATTTTTTCCCATTTCATATTCTTGCCTCCTTTGTCAAAGACTAATGGGCCATGTAAGCATGAGTTTATTTCTGGGCTCTCTATTCTTTTTCACTGATATGTGTCTATTTTTGTGCCAGTATCATATTGTTTTGATTACTACAGCTTTGTTACTACAAAAAAAAAAATGAAATCTTGAAATCTAAGATTATAACACCCCCTAGGTTTGTTGTTCTTTTTTCAGATTGTTTTGACTATTCAGGGTCTTATGTAGCTCCATACAGATTTTAGGATTATTTGTTCTAGTTCTGTGAAAAATGCTGTAGGTATTTTGATAGGGATTGTAAAAATTTGTACTATAAATCCTTAGAGATGTGTGTACATTCTCCAAATTGTATATATACAAAAGAGTAATATGTGTGTGTGTATATAAATATAAATATAAATATAAATATAAATATAAATATAAATATATGTATATTACACGTACAGGGAGAAGAGAGCAAGAGAGAGAGAACATGAGAATCTTCATTTTGAATCACTGCTTTATTTCACTTTTTAAGCTACTATCTTTCAGTATCTGTAATTCAGTTAATATTTAGTGTTTAAAGTATTTTTATCAAAACCTGTAAGGAAACATGTAAGGACAAAGTCACAAGCTTCTTAATATTCCAAGTTCCAAAACTGCATAACACATTTTTTAAAAAACTATCAGTGTTAAGTTCCTATTTAATCTGATAGATAAGAAAAGCAGCATTAATTCTTACAAATTTTTTGTGTTATAGATTGCGTAGATGACACTATAATAGTTCTGGCTGAAGAACATGGTTGTCTGGACATTATAAAGGTTTGGCATTAATCTGTTATTGAAAATTGATGTATTCTGTATACTTGGGATCTAACAGCAAACTATTTTAAAGCTATATGTATTTCTTTTCAGATAATTTGCTTTTTTATAGAGTGACAATCTAATGTAAATTAGTATAAAGTCCAAATAAAGACAATTTAGAAAAACTCAAAGTGCTCCAGAATAGTAAACATTTGAGTAAAATGTATTTTTTAAATGGGTCATTTTAAATAATTCTTTTCTCTTTTTATTTACCAGGACCTTCCTGAAAATGTGATAGATCTTTTGAAGAAGTGTCTCACCTTCCACCCTTCCAAGAGGTTGATATTATTATTAAGACTTTGAGATTATACTGAGATCTTGAATATATAAATAGTTGTGGGTTTTTTCTTTCTTTTTCTTTTCTTTTCTTTTTTCTTTTTTTTTTTTTTTTTTTTTTTTTTTTTTTTTTTTTTTTTTAAGAGAGAGAGAATGGGGAGGGAGAGAGATAGAGCAAATCTTAGGCAGGCTCCACACCCAGCACAGAGCCTGATGCAGGAGTCGATCTCATGAGTGTGAAATCATGACCTGAGCCAAAATCAAGAGTCAAACATTCAACCGACTGAGCCACCCAAATGCCCCTGATGTATAAGTAGTTGTGGTTTTTTATTAGTTATTATACTAATGGATTAAATAAGAATATTTGCATACATATAGGAATACAAAATTGATATTAGTATCATAACTATTAGCTATAGCTCTAATGTATATTAATAAAAGAAAAATTATTAGTTTAGATGATTATTAGTTTAGAATTTTAATTAAGATATTCAGTAAAGGAAGCACATAATAGTCAAGATAAAAGTAAAAAATGGAGAAGCTCATATATAATCTTTGATAGATCATAAGGTACAAAAAGCACAATATGGGGGAAAATTCAGCATTTACTTATAGTCACTTTTTATATAAAAGTATACATCAAGATTCTGCTAAGGAGAGTTTTATTATTATTTTCTTTACTTATGATGTACTTAAGACTTTTAACTATTCCTTTAACTTTTTAAAACATCCTCTTGAATGTGTGCCATTATTCTAGCAGATTTTTAATGACTTCATTCATAGTCTGTGTTTTAAATTTTTCTCAAGGCCAACTGCAGATGAATTAATGCAGGACAAGGTATTCAGTGAAGTGTCACCTTTATATACTCCCTTTACCAAACCTGCCAGTCTGTTTTCATCTTCTCTAAGATGTGCTGATTTAACTCTGCCTGAGGATATCAGCCAGCTGTGTAAAGGTAATGATAGATAAGACAGAAAATAATATAAGCCTTATTTTTAAAGGAAGTATCCTTACTGTATTTTCAGTTTTATGTTTATCAAATATATATATAATTATATATGTGTTTATTGTAGTTATATAACTGCTATTCACGTAGCATTTTTTTAAGTTTATTTATTTTCAGAGAGAGAGAAAATGAGTGGAGCAGGGGCAGAGAAAGAGGGGGACAGAGGATCTGAAGTGGGCTCCATGTTGACAGCAGAGAGCCCAATGCAGGGCTCAAATTCATGAACCATGAGATCATGACCTGAGCTGAGGTCGGACACTTAACTGACTGAGACACTCAGGCACCCCACCACCATATAACATTCATACCAAATGGAGAGGCAGATAAACATTTATTTACTATTATTAATAAGGGTCAGTATGAACATAGTACAGTGGAATCATATCCTGCTTGAGACATCAAGAAAAGCTCTTCAGAAGAGGCAGCTATTGCCTCAAGATATAAAGGATGGGATAGTTTGTGTTAGTTACCCACACAAGTTGCCTTTTTTGGCCTGTATCCCTTTCCCACAGAACCCGATATATCTGATACATGTATGGAATATATATCCCATATATCTCTGATATAGAAGGTAAAAATTCCACTCTTCTTCTCAGAGTAACTGAATGTACATTCAATGTGTATATCCTCATTTCATCCTTTGTGCATTGTATAGTATGAATCTTCTAAAGGGACTCATACTGTGTTCTTCAATTAGTATTTGTTGAGAATGTCAGCTATTATTGCCTGTTGCCTTTTAATAAAAACAGAAAGTGTGAGAGCTATGATTCTTTTCCATTTGCCATTAATAGATGTAAACAGTGATTACCTGGCTGAAAGATCTATTGAAGAAGTATATTACCTTTGGTGTTTAGCTGGAGGTGACTTGGAGAAGGAGCTTGTCAACAAGGAAATCATTCGATCCAAACCACCTATCTGCACACTTCCCAAGTAAGGAAAGAAAGCTTCTCTTGGAAATGAAAAAAATTTGATACTAACTTTTTTTTTAATTTGGGATTTTTTTTGGTAGATATTCCAGCTAAGTAATTATGAAAGCAATTGGAAGTCAATACCTTGTTTTCTTGATTGGAGCTTCTAATTGCAGAATTCCCATTAATATTTTATTATTTTTAATAAGTACTATTTTTAAAAAAATAATTTGCCATATGATCTATTTGACATAACCCTATTATCATAGAATATCTTGCAATAATTGATGTTCAATAAATGAAAAATGTAGACGTCAGAAAGAATAGTAATATTCAAGGCTTAGATTCCACCTACATCTGCCTAAATAACCCAGAAAACTGCTGGAAGACTAGTAGAATGGACTCTCAGGAGCCAAGCATAGACAAGAGGCCCACGGAAGAGGGTAGGAAGGGCGGAGAGGCGGTGCATGCTACACGGACTGGCGGGAGGGAGCCGGGGCGGTGGAGGGGCAGCCCGCCAGGCAAGACAGAACCCCGAGTCTGGCTTGCAAAAGCAGAGGGGCCGGACTGGGTGAGTTCTGACAGCCAGCGGGACTTAACATCTGGAATATTATAAGTCAACAGCCTTGCTCAGAGAGTGGGAGGGAGAGGTGTTGAGCCCCAGAAGACAGAGCTCAGTTTGGCAGGGAACAAAGGCGCTGGGAAGCGCCATCTCCCTCTCCCATACCCCAGCCAAAATCCCAGAGGGAACCAGTTACCGTCACCGAACGTGCTTGCACCACACAAACACCCAGCACTGGGCTCCTGTGAATCCATCCCTCCGACGGGTCAGCCTGCCTCCCTCCCGGTGCTTCAGGGCCCCTCCTACAGGGGACCACCATGGGCAAAGTGACCTAAGTCTGCCCCTCCCGCCCCTGTGCACCTTGCCGATCCACCCTGGCTAATAGGCCAGTTCCCATCAAAGCAGCACCACAAGCCTGGCAGTGTGCAAGTAGCCCAGACAGGGGCCACACCACTCCACAGTGGGTCCTGCCCCTGGGAGAGGGGAAGACAAGGTACACACCAGTCTGACTGTGGCCCCAGCGGTGGGCTGGGGACAGACATCAGGTCGGACTGCGGCCCCACCCACCAACACAAGTCACTCCAGGCAGCACAGGGGAAGTGCCCTGCAGTTCTGCGCCACCCCAGGGACTATCCAAAGTGACAAAACGGAAGAATTATCCTCAAAAAAACTCCAGGAAGTAGAGACATCTAACGAATTGATCAAAAACGATTTAAGCAATATAACAGAACGTGAATTTACAATAATAGTCATAAAATTAATAGCTGGGCTTGAGAAAAGTACAGAGGACAGCAAAGAATCTATTGCTACAGAGATCAAGGGACTAAGAAATAGTCATGAGAGCTAAAAAAAAAAAATGCTATAAATGAGGTGCAAAATAAAAATGGAGGCAACCACGGCTCAGATTGAAGAGGCAAAGGAGAGAATAGGTGAATTAGAAGATAAAATTATGGAAAAAGAGGAAGCTGAGAAAAAGAGAGATAAAAAAAATCC